TCGGTGCCTTGCTTGTTAGACCTGTTCTTGGGGTCACTTGGGCGCTGATTCAGAAAATTGCATTGGCTAGATGGCAACAGCTCTAGCTTCTTAGATATGGTTCAATTTTATAATTTTTAGTCAGTTTTTGGAGATCTCGCTGATCAACTTGCTCTCCTGTTACCTGGTTTGTGTTTTGTGTAGCAGTCACCAGATACTGTATAGTGAGTTACAGACGTCCAACTGTCATTTTACAGCAGAAACATTGGATTGTAAAGTGAACATTGTGAACTATCTTCTAGTTATGGTGGTAGAGGTGTGTGGCTATTGCACTGGTGAGGTGTTGGCTACTCCACGACGGTGCTGCCTGAATCATCCCGATATATTTTACTAAATTTGTGGGGAGTACACCCTAAAAAGTGAGTAGGAAGCCCATTTCGGAGTTGGTGAAGGAAGCATGTCTAGGTTATTTTGGTGTCCAGGTTGGAGATGAAGATAAGCCATGGGCTCCTTATATTGTATGGAGAACTTGTATGGAACATTTGTGGAGGTGGACAAACCTGGAACCTTATGCAGGATTGTACCGGCAGATCCCACTCTCGGAAGTCCTACAATAGGCTTCTTCTGTGTGGAATGATTGGAGCATTGTAGGTGGCTCTTCATAGCTATTGTGGCAAAAACCGTTCCGCCTGGGCTTCCTCGTGCGGAGCAGTGCGGTTCAGAGAGTCACTTCTCCAACTCGGTTTGCCGTGACAACCCATCCGTGTTGGCGTTTTGCTTTCCGGTCGATACTGGATTGTAAAGTTATAGGGTTGGAAGGCCAAGCTCCACCGTAGCAGATGACCATTGTTCCCAGAGACCCAGTTTAGCCATACCAGGGGGTTGTGATCGGTGAGTACAGTGAAGGCTGAAATTTCTTGAGGGCCCATACCAAGGCAAGACACTCTTTCTCCACAGCAGCGTAGGCCACCTCCCGGGGTAAACAACTTTCTACTTAGGTAGGCCACTGGATGGTCGTTCCCATCGTCCCCGATTTGGCTCAGAACAGCACCCAATCCAAAGGTGGAGCCATCGGTGTGAACACAAAACCGTTTGGAAGGGTCAGGAGCTGCCAAAACGGGAGCATGGATCAGATCATGTTTGAGATTTTAGAAAGCCGTTTCACACTCTGGGGACCACACAACCTGTCGGGACAGATTCTTCCGGGTCAGATCCATTAGGGGTTTAGCAATGGCGCTGTAGTTGATGAATTTATGGTAGTACCCCACAGTGCCTAGGAAGGCAAGGACCTGGGTCTTGGTTTGGGGATTGAGCCAATTTGCTACCGCTTCCACCTTTGCCGGTGTTGGTCGTTGCTTCCCACATCCTACCCGATGTCCTAGATATTGGACCTCGGACACCCCAACATGGCATTTGTTCGGTCAGATGGTCAGCCCTGCTTGCCCAATGCAATCAAGCACTTCCCTGAGGTGTCGGAGATGATCCTCCCAACTATCACTGTAGATAGCTATATCGTCTAGATAGGCGCAGGAGAAGTCCTGCAGTCCATCCAGCAGCTTATCTACCATTCTCTGAAAGGTAGCCGGGGCGTTCTTCATCCCAAAATGGCATGACCCTGGACTGGTACAAGCCGAACGGGGTGATGAATGCCGACTGTTACCCCGTCTGCATCCAGTGGAATCTGCCAGTCCTCCTTGCAGAGATCGATGGTGGTAAGATAATTACCTCTGGCCATCCGGTCCAGCAGCTCATCTATCTGGGGCATGGGGTATGCATCGGTCACGGTCCGGTCATTGAGCCTGCGGTAGTCCACACAGAACTGGATGGTTCCGTCCTTCTTGGGTATCAGGACTACTGGGGGAGGCCCAGGGACTGCCAGAGGGTTCTATCACACCTAAATCTAAACATTTCCTTAATCTCTCTTCTCATCCCTTCTCTGATGGACTCGGGCACTCAGTAGGCTGCCTGCTTCAGGAGGGCCTGACCCTGCGTGTCCACCCGGTGGGGGCAGTTGTGGTGGTGTAACCGGGCAGAGACGAGAACAGCCCTCGGTGCTCTTGGAGCAGTTGGCGGGCCTGTTCCTGGGCCTTGGGAGGCAGCCGAGTGCTGATATCTACATCCGCTACACTCAGCTGGGACTGTCCGTCCCCCCGGCAGTCCCGGCAGAAGAAGCGTTTTCTGAGTCATCGGTAGCTGGAGTACATATAGCAGCTACACTCTCCTGTCGTTCGATGAACGGTTTCAGCATATTCACATGGAAGGTTTGCCGGATCCTTCCATCCGAACAGCGAGCTACAATGTATGTGGTATCACAGAGTTGCTCCCACCACTTGGTACGGCCCTCCCAGGCAGCCTGTAATTTGTCATGCCTGACTGGTTTCAAAGCCAACACTTTCTGTCCTAAGTGAAAACGTTCGGTCTCGGGCAGACCGGTCGTAACCACCCATTTCTGTCGGCTCTGGGCGGCCTCAAGGTTGTCCTGTACTAGGGTCATCAACCGTTGTAGCCTCTCCCTGAGCTCCAGCACATAGGCCACCACCGAGGTCCCTTCCTCGGCCACTGCTCCCTCCCAGTGTTCGCATAGGAAATCCAGGGTCCCCAAACCCTCCGGCCGTACAGCAGCTCGAAGGGAGAGAACCCTGTGGACTCCTGCGGTACCTCTCAGTAGGTGAACAGGAGGTGGGGGAGATGCCACCCCAGTCCTTTGGGGACATGGTGAACGTTCGGAGGAGCTGTTTCAGCGTACCATTAAACCGTTCGCAGAGCCCATTGGTCTGGGGGTGGTAGGGAGAGCTGTACAGCAGTCTGATCCCACACAACTTCCAAAGTTGTTGGGTAAGCTCGGCCGTGAACTGCGTGCCTTGGTCGGTCAGGATCTCCCGAGGAAATCGATATACCCGTGTACAGATCTGCAGCAGGGCTTGAGCAACTGTTTCTGCCTGCACATCTCTCAGTGCTACGGCCTCCGGGTACCGGGTGGCATAGTCGACAATGGTCAAGATATACTTCTTGCCTGTGAGACTAGGCCGCTTCAGGGGCCCCACTAGGTCCACGACGATATGACTGAAAAGTATTCCCGACTATGGGTAGGGGCCTCAGAGTGGCCCTGGGCCTGTCTCCCTGCTTCCCTACCTTCTGGCAGACCTCACAAGACCGACAGTAGTCCTAAATGTCCCCCGATACTACTGGCCAGAAGAAACTTGGGTTAAGCGATGTAGTGGTCCGTCGCTTACCCAAATGCCCAGCAAGGGGAATATCATGCGTAATCTGGAGGGAGGTCACGCTGATATTTCCTCAGTACTACCATCTGCCGGAGAGGTATTTGGGCAGCGCCCACCCCTGTTCCCCCGTGGACCCTGTACAACTTTCCCTGGTCCCACTCATACCTCACATCTCCCAATCCTCCAGGATCATTTCCAGCCCTCCGTCTATAGGGGTCTAAGGTCCAGTCACTGGCTGTTTCTTTAGCGAAACTCAGCGGGGGAAATCCCAGGTCAGGGCAGGGACAAGCTCAGCAGGGGGTGGGTACTCGACTCTTACCGGAACCTCGGCAGGTGGAGTGGCAGCATGCTCTCTAGTCTGGGAGTGGCGAGTGGTGACTGATGAGCTTCAGCTGGGGTCTCGGTGCCAAAACTGGAGACCAGGACTCCCAGATCATTTTCCAAGGAGAACCTCAGCATGGCAAGTTCTGCATTTACTCCAATTTCAATGTCCCTGGCCCCGGCCCCCCAATCCATATGAAGCCCTTGTGGTAGGAATCCAGTAGACATGGCCTCCTGCTACCCGTTACGCCACAGACCGCCCGGTCTTGGCCCAGTCTGTAACCAGTTGGGGTTGGAAAATAGGGTGAGTGTGGCCCCCAGTGTTCCCGTAAATCCATGGGCCTGATGGCCGTTAACATGGACAACCTGTTGGTGATGTCGGCGATTGTCCGGGGTGGCAGCCTGGAGAGGGTTAGCCTCATGAAAGACCCCGATGTCCTCATCCTCGGGTGGTTAAAATTCCCCCATGAAGAGGCGGTGTCACTCGGGTGGTCCTGTAGGGAGTAGGCAGAGGCTCGGCCATAGGGAGTGGTGGGTTGGTTGGAAGTGCCCCGAGGGAGGGTTGGCTGCTCTGGGCCTTGGTGGATTCCGGGGGCAATTAATTGCGGATGTGCCCTGTTTGATTGCAGCCATAACAGCGTGGGCCAGACCACTTTGAGTCAGAAGGTGTGGGTGGTCTGAGGCAATCTCGGGTGACCGGGGGGAGTGGGCACCACTGGTTGTAGACGAGGTGCAGGGGGAATGGCGGCTCGGTTTAGCCTCCTGTTGTCCAGGTACTCATCTGCCCAGCGACTAGCGTCAGCTAAGGTTAGGGGGTGTCTGTCCCGGACCCAATGTCTAACATCCCCAGGAAGTCCATTGTAAAACTGCTCCAGTAACAGCAGCTGTTGTAATAGTTTCTTCTAGCTCGGTGATTTGACACCCTCGGACCCAGCTGCGGGCAGCGTGTTGTAACTGGTTGTCCTCTTTTAGTGAAGGTGTCCTGGGGTTTCTTCTTGAGTGTCCGGGGGTGAGAGCAACTTTAAGCCGTACACCTCTGGGGTGAGAGCATAGTGGGCCAGCAAGTGTTCCGTATAACATAATCATAATCCAACAAAGCAGTAGCTGTTGGGTACAGTCCTGAATGCGTCTGCAAGCCCGACCGTTTAGCTTGCTCTGCTCAAAATGGGGACCCGGTCTTGGGCTGCCACACCATGGATGGTGCACAACCGTTCAAAAGTCCTGAAGAAAGCTCTGTCAATGTCCCCATCCGTCTCTGAGAAAATTTCAAAAGCAGCGTAGGGAATTTTCTTTGGTCGGTTGCAGTCTGGAGAAGGCCGGAGATAATCCTCTCCCAGACCGAGTCCTCGGTGGATGACCAGGAATGACTAAGCCGCAGTTGGTTGGCAGTCGTCCAGGGCCTTGGAAATCTGTTCGGAGTTGGGAACGCTGCCAAACAGAGCCAAACGCCACTCCACCTCTTGTCACAAATCCGAATGGTATAGGGGTCTCTGTACGGTGCTAAGCGGGCCTGGCGTTTCAGGGGCCGATGAGCTGCTCTGTTCCTCCAACTCCTCTCCTGTGAAGCAGAGTTCACTTCTGGTGGCGGCATGTTCACTTTAAGCATAGCGGAGTGTGCATCAGGTAAAGTGGGGTGTGCATCAGGTGAAGTGGGGTGTGCATCAGGGTGAAGTGGGGTGCGCATCCAGCTTGGTCCAGGGCCATAATTTTGTCCAACAGTTCCTCTCTAGTCTTGGAGCCAGCGATACCTCCCGCGAGCGACAAGCAGGCTTTGGAGGGCTGGCTTCCGGAGGTCCCGTATATCCATCTGGCTGAGCAGGGACGTCTCCGTGAAAAGATGGGGTCTGGTTGGTGGTTTGGACTTTCTCCGCAATGTGAGGAAAAATCCCACCTCTGCTGCCAACCAATTGTGGTGGAAACCGTTCTGCCTGGGCTTATTCGTGCGGAGCGATACGTCACACCCAATGGTTCTCTTTTCCAGCAAGTCTTGCAGCGCTCTGCCAAGGCAGGTATTAGAGCTAAAAAAAACTCCCTTCCTGCCCTCCCAAACCACGAGTCGTAACTTTGTGTGGGTAGGGTGAAAATGAATGGCTCTTTATTAAACACAGCTCAGTTATATACAGCTTCACCCCCACCAGACAGCCTGGTACCAGGTTTTCCCCGCCCACAACAAACCTACAACCAACAATACAGTAGGTAACTCCTCATAGAAGGGAAGGACTACAAGGGTCACATTTCCCTAAACAGTGTAGAATGTCTGTGAAACTTAAACAGCTTTACAAAGGGAGGAAACCGGAACAGAAAGGGCAAAATGGGTATCACACAGGGACGGTTCATCACAGCTATGCTCTGCTACGTTCATAAACTGGAGTGTGGGCACAAACATACGCTCTCTCTGTTTTGTAGACCTGTGCCATGTTCATGCTCCAGTTCGTTGTGTACAGCCACATACAACCTTCCATGTCTATGGATGACAGTACACAACACCAGGAGCCCCTGGACACCACAAACAGGCTACTGGGAGTACACTGTACAGGAGAACACAACCGTGTGCATGAGCCCCTATTATGTAGAATGGTAAAGGTTGGATGGGTTGTAGTACAGAGTCAGGCAGATGTCAAGGCCCTGTGTATATTATGCCATACACAGGTTCCAGGAGTTGTATACCCAAGTATGCAGATTGGGAAAGTCAGAGACACAACAAAGGTCCACGCATCTATAGTAGATACTTGTTCCAGCTCACCTGGTGCTTTTCATGCTTCCTCTTCTATGTAGTACTAGGAAGAAGGGAGGTCGTCTTATTTGGGAGGGTCCCCAACAAGCTAGAAATGGCCCCCCATAATAAAAATAAATTTCCCACCCCAATAGAGCCCACTACTGCCCCCTAGGAGGTCAGAAAAAAACCTGCAAGTGATGCTCGAAACTTCATGTAGAAGAGGAAGAGTCTCACCTCCGATGACTTTGAGTGTCCTGCATACCGAGGTCGGAGATGTCAGTGCCGAGTGTTTTACATGGACAGAGATAATTCCGCTCCTTTATGCAGGTCATGGCTGGGAGTTATATGGAGAGAACACTGACAGTTGAATGATCCAAGCTTCTTCATACTGATAATAGGGTCCATCTCCAGCTGTAGAGGTCTGTCCTCGTGTCTTGCAGAGCCGTTCATCAGTTGTTTCCCCTCCTCCATATCTATAACATCTTCATCCCCTCCACCATCATCTCTGCTTATCCTGACCTGAGCGGGTGACCTCCAGACCTCCAGGTGTAGATGGTCCTCATCTCCTGCTCCTCAGATCTTCTAATACACACAAAGATTTCTATGTCGTTGGGTCTGAAGTCCATAATCTGACAAGTCAGAGTTGTCCTGTTCATGTCAATCAGCTCATTGTTTCCAGTGATCTCAGAGAGAGTGGGAGGATCTGGAAGAGGAAATCATCGTATGGATTATTACATTTACTATGTGATGTATTTGTGTTATCCGGAGATCAGATTCATCTCTTCTCTAATAGCAAATATAGATGAGAGGGTCTAAGCTGGCCATACACGATTGGAATCTCGGCAGGAACCGGCCAAGATTCGAACCAAGTATGGGCAGGCTGAATGTACCAAAGTTGATGAATTGATCAACTTGGGTACAACCAGTCTGCCGGATTTTACATTTGTAGGGAACTGTTATTTTATACACTAGTTGTGGTTTGTTTACATTCATATACAGCCACTACCATAGAGGTCCCATTACAGACAAGTACCTAGGTGTGCTTCCTGCCCCTGCAAGGAGGTCAAGAAACCCCAGGATGTTATATAGTTTGTTTTTTTCTGTTTTTTTTTTTACAGGAAGTATCAGGCAGAGGGTGCCAGCCTGCCATGTGCTGTGTATCTGGGGAGAACTGTATGGTGATTCTGTGAATAATGATCCAGATTAACCGCATGCTGCCCAGCCACTGTACATATACGGTGGCAGGGCGGCACTCACAGGCAAAACCACGTTTTAAAACGTGTGTTTTGTAAACAAATAGGGGGCGCGCGCGAGGCGCGCCACCACCCTATCTGTCCCGCGGATCACCGCCGCAGATGTGAGTCGCCGGGTCACAGCCACTCCTTAGCGGCTACGTCCCGGCGATCGGCAAGTAAACGGTGACAGAGAGCACAGCTGCAGTAGCTGTGCTGTCTGTCACCTCTCTGTCAGCTCGAGGATGAGCTGATCGAGAAAGAATAGTTTCACTTTCTCGATCAGCCTTGTCCCGTCCAGTACACACCCCCACCCCCCTAGTAAAACACTCCTCACTCCTATAACCCTTCCCTGCTAAATAAAAGTTAACCCCTTCCTCCCCAGTGCCATTAGTACAGTGTCAGTGTTTTTTTTTTTTTTGCACTGATCACTGTATTAGTGTTTTTTGGGGATGTCAGTGACCCCAAGTCAGTACCCCCCAATGTCAGAATGTCCGCCGCAGTCCCGCCATAAGTCCCTGGTCGCTGCCATAAGTCCCTGATCGCCGCCATAATTTGCTGATTGCCGCCATTATTAGTATAAAAAAAACCTAAAAATCCCAGTATCTTTCCCGCCATTTGTAAACGCTATAACTTTCACGTAAACCAATTAATTGGGGTTTTTTTTTTTAGCAAAGACATGTCGCAGAATGCATTTTGGCAGAAATTTATGACTAAATTTGATTTTTGCATTTTTTTTTACTGGACATGTTTTATAGCAAAAAGTCCAAAATATTGTTTTTTTTTTGCTCAAAATTGTCAGCCTTTTTTTTTATATAGCGCAAAAAATAAAAACCGCACAGGCGATCAAATACCACCGAAAGAAAGCTCAATTTGTGGGGAAAAAAAGGATGTAAATTTCATTTATGTACTGTATTGCATGACCGCGCAATTGTCTGTTAAACTAGCGCAGCGCTGTATAGCAGAAAAATGTCGTAAATTGCAGTATCTATACCATAGTTTGTAGACGCTATAACTTCACACAAAGCAATCAATATACACTTATTGGGATTTTTATTACCAAAAACATGGAGCAGAATACATTTTGGCCTAAATTTATAACCAACTTTGAGTTTACTATATATTTTTTATAGCTGAAAATAAAAAATATTGTTTTTCTTCAAAATTTTTGGCGTTTTTTTTGTTTATAGCGTGAAAAATAAAAAGCGCACAGGTGATCAAATTACACCGAAAGAAAGCTCTATTTGTGTGAAAAAAAGGACGTAAATTTAGTTTGGGTGCAGCATTGCATGACCGCGCAATTATCAGTTGAATTAGTGCAGCGCCGAGTAGCAAAAAGAGGCGTGGTCATTAAGGGGGGTAAATCCTCTGGAGGGCGAGTGGTTAACAAGGCTGCTATCTATCTAGTTGTTACTGAAGCAGATTAGGTCTGCCTCTGTTATATTTCAACTTCTGTATAGGAACCCTAATATCTCTGTAAGAGAGAGTTGTGGTTCATTGTCATTATTCTATTTACACTGCAGAATCCTGATCGTTGTCATATATATATATATATAGATCCGTGTCTTCACCTGCATAGGACTGTCAGGGGAACTTTCTATTAATTGCAGTGTATCTTTGCAGCCTCTTTGCTTAAAGCCATAGCACCCTTATTGGTCTGGATCTCCCTTTAGCTAGGATTAGCATAGGGAGCTTTGGATAGATTAGGCTAGAGGTAGGTTAGGCATCCGACGGCCACTTAGACAGACAGAGGCCCGGTTGCAGTGACAGCCCAGTTTAGGGATAGGGACTAAGAGTGAGGATAGATAGAGCATTTTATCCTTTTAGGTGATGCATCGCTGATCTTCAGACAAGCCGTGCAATCATCCGCATAGAACGTGTTACTTGGACGCCATCGCAGCATCTGAAGTGGAAGCGTGCATCTTATTGACTCTCACCTCTCCAGGGGCCCCTGCACCCGGACTGCGCTATAACCCGTGGTTGGAGGTATTCTGTATACTACATGCACATACACCCGGGTATAACTGCAACCTCCCAATTTATGGTAAATTGTAATTCCTGAATGTTTTTTCTTATGCCTCCTGTTTTATGTGGCTGCTTTATATAGACTTTGCATTAATCTCATACAGGTGGGTGACATGTTTTCATGTTAGAAATATAAGCTGGGTGCATTAATACTGCTATGTATAGTTACTGTAAGTTGTCTGTTACATTCCTAGACAGGGGGGAGTCCCCTCCATTGCAGGATCCCTATTCTAGGTGGAGGCACTGCCATTTGTATTATCACAACCCCCTCTTCCATATAGCGAAGGCTCAGGATTGCCTACTCATATACAGGTCAGTGCCATAGCTTGTTTGGTGTGGGCCATTTCACATAACCCCCCCCCCAAAACAGGGCTACACATGCGTGTATCGCTAGCGGCTGTTATAGCCACTAGCAATCACTGTCTTCTCCTGGCAGGGACAGCTTCCCCTGCACCACCGCACCCCCACACCCCCTCCTCGTTGGGAGAACACAATGGCTCGAAGGAGGGATTCCCATGTCAACATTGTGTTGATGGGGGAATTGAGTGAATTACTTTCCTGCAATCCCTGGGAACATGCTGATAATTTGTGTACATGGGATTGCTAGAGAGTATCCTGTGACAACGGTGTCCTTTGGGATCTCCCTGGGTGTCATCATTTGGGGCTGGTTTCCCAACTACCCCATGACCCCTTTGTGGGAAGGGATTTCCAATAATTCTGAGAACTCTGGGATTGCCTGATTCCCAAGTGCTTCTTAAAGTAGAACTATAGGAAAACCTTTTTTCAATTTTGGACAGAGTAAGGGAGGGTTAGAACCCCGGTCAGTTTCTTTTTTTGCCATCTGTGCCCCATTGCGGAGATTTCCTGTAAGGGACCGCCTGGCGGTACCACTAGCACTCCACTGATTAGGCGCTCCCAGAGCACGGAGTCTAAGCCCCAGAGTACTTGTTCACCAGAGCCCCTGATGGTGGGGATGGACTTGGAGTACCCCGAGACCAGGTCGTGGCTCCTGAGAACGCCTGTCAGTGGTAGGGGTATTCGCCAGGGGCTCCCACGGGGAAGAGCCTGATGTGAGGAGGTCGGGAGACCCCGGGGGATGGATGGATGGATGAGCAGGTGCCAAGTCAGACAAGCCGGGTTGGTAACAGTGGGGTCGGTGCGGTACCAAGCAGCGGGCAGAGAATAGTCGGGTCACACGCCAGGTCAGCAACAGGAGGTCAGATCTAGTAAGGGTCATCCAGGAGAGAGGTCAGGCAAGCCAGGGGTCAGAGTGGGAGAATACAGCAAGGGTCAGGTCCAATCCGGGTCAGCAGCTTACAGGAAACAGAATCACAGGTACAGGTATGCAGAAGAGACCAGAAGGCACTGAATGACAGCTCAGGGCCGTTTAAATATCGCGCCCTGCGCTGTCATTGGTGCCCGGCGCGCGACCGCGGTTCCTACTGCGCATGCGCAAGCCTGAATGCCGCGGTCGGCGGCAGGAACTGGTGCCCGCGTCCCTGCAGAGAGCGGCGCACTGCGCCTGCGCCGGGACCAGCGCCGCGGGGATCCCTGACATTGCCCCCCCCCTACGGGCAACCTCCGGGTGCCCACCCGATCTCTCCACCACGGGTGATCATGAAGAAACTCCCGGACAAGCCTAGGTGCATGGACATGTTGGGTAGGTTCCCAGGAGTTGTCCTCCGGACCATAACCCTTCCATTTAATTAGGAACTGGGTCTGACCCCCCCTCCTTTGGCACTTCAGGATTGCTTCTACCTCAAATTCCTCTTGCTCTTCGATAGTTATGGCCTCCGGAGGTCTGGACTCTCGATCTGGAAAAGGGTCAGGGACAACTGGTTTCAGCAGGGATACGTGGAACACTGGATGGATCTTGAACGTCTCAGGGAGGATGAGCTCATATGCCACTTCGTTGATCATTCGCTTCACACAGAAAGGGCCTACAAACTTTGGTCCCAATTTTCTTGACAGACACAACATTTTCAAATTTGTCGTTGCCAACCAGACCTTATCCCCAGGCTGCTGCACCAGGTCCCCCCTTCGTTTCTTATCAAACGCCTTCTTGTTATCCTCCTGGGCCCTCGCAATGGCCTCCTGCAGTAGTTTGTTGTTGGAGGAGAAAAATGCAAGTGCGTCTTGTGTTGCTGGAACTGGGCATTCCGAGACCAGATCAGGGAGAAAGACAGGATGAAATCCGTAGTTCGAAAAAAAAAAAAACGGGGATTGCCCCGTTGCTGAATGGTTAGTGTTGTTATAGGCAAATTCTGCCAAGGGTAAGAGCGATAGCCAGTTATCCTGTAGGAAGGATGTGTAACAACGCAGGTATTGCTCCAGGGTCTGGTTAGTCCTCTCTGTTTGTCCGTTGATCTGCGGGGTGGAATGCGGAGGAGAGGGATAACTTGATATCCAATGCCTTGCATAGGGCTCTCCAAAATTTAGATGTAAA